GTTTTCATCGAGTGATCTCGGCTGCTGGGGGGGCCTTGCCAGCCCCCATGTGCCATCCCGTCTGTGCTCTCGGGGCCCACAGAGGCTCCCGGCCTCCACTCAGCCTGTCTCCCTCCCTCAGCTGCAGCGCCCCAGACCTCAGCTGGCCTTTCTCCAGCCAGCACCAGGGGGGGACACTGGCCCTGCCCTTCCTTCCCTTGGCTGCAGGCAGAGCTTTTCTCCAGAGGCTATACCACCACTGTCACCAGAACTCAGAACCTTGTCAATCAAACACTTTGCAAGTATCTGGGAGGTGACACATTTTTAAAGTCCAGAGATAACTGTAAGAACACAACCTCTCATCAGCTCCGTGCCTCTGGCTGGTGAGGTGCATAGAAACCAGAATGTTCTGCTTCTCTATTCTGAAGAAACCAGGGAAGGGGGAGACAGGGGAGAATGGTAAGCGTTGGGGGTACCTGAAGACTTCCAGACGCAGGAACCGCAGTATTTCTGTTACTCTGTTTGCGTGTCCCAGTCTCTGCAGCCCCATCAGTGAGCGTGGCAGCCACCCTGTAGACACTGGGACAAAAACATCTATCAGCTTAACACTTCAGCGCCCAGTTCACTTACTGCATCTGTCGTGCTGCACAGCGATGCCTGGGTGTCTTTTTTTTCATTTCTCACTTGGGCTCCCGCGGGCAGATGTAGAATCTTGTAGGCTGCCTTGAGTGCTTCTTTCAGCGGGTACCACGTGCCGGCCGGTTTCGTGAGCTTTGCTGCTGGGATCCTTCCCTCTTTTTTCCCTTCTTCATAATATTCCACAAGCTCTCCTTTCCCCCTACTCGCTTTCTCTTTTTCTCTGTCTCTCTTTCTGTCTCTTGCACACACAGAAGTATATATAAGCTGAGAAAATTTCCCAACGATTACTGATGTTTGCATTGTTTTTTATCCTTTGCAATGTGTTTCCACCCCTATTATGTCTGTAATTATTACAACCCTACACAAAGGCTGGTAATTTTTTTTAACCACCTTTGACAAATGGAAAAAAATCTGAACTATGTCCAGTAGGAGAATTAGAATAAAAACAGGTCAATCATTCACAGATTCGGTTAATGAATATTTATTACCCACTGCATTGTACCAGGAATCACGCCAAACAATGGGAACACAAAGACGACTAAGATGGGCATCACATTCTCCTTTGTGGAGCTTACAGTCTGTTAAGGAAAACAGACATTTAAACAAGTAAGTACAATGAAGTGCAGGGTGTATAATAAGAAGAAATTATGGGTGGCCTGGAAACAGAAGAGGCAGACTCCAACCTAGCCTATGGGTCAGGGCCCCCCACCCCCCAAAACACACACAAACACAATATACGATTGTTAAGCTGAGACTAATAGGATAGGATGAATAGAAGTTACAAAGATGGAAGGGAGGATGGTGCAGAGAGGAAGAAAGGTCCAGAAACTGTGAAGGCCAAAAGGGAGGAAAATAGAGGAGGAATGAAAAATTCATCTTGGTGAAACAGAAGGCCAGGAGAGGTTGCCAGATGTCAGTTCATGGAAGGGCTTCCAGTAGATCACAGGTTGAGGCAGGAGTTGCATCTTACAAAGGTCAATGTGGCTCTAGTGTGACTGATAGATTGGAGAAAACCAAGACTGCACGTAGACAGCACAGAGAGGAACCCACTCCTGGACTTAAGGTGGGACATGATGGGGGCCCGTTTTGGAAGAATAGCAATAGGGTCTGGAGAGGTAGAGACAAATGAAACAGTCTTCAAAGCATATTAAACGAAAAAAGCAAGGAGTGTTTTTCTAATACATTGTACTATATTATATGTGTTTTTAGAGGAATATATACATAGGTATGCTCAGATATGCATAGAGTATTTTTGGAAGGATAGATAACAAACTTTTGTTTGTGAGAGTTCCTGGCGAGAATACATGAGGGGCTGGAACAGAGGTAGGAATGCTTTTTTCTCTGTATATCTTGTGTGCTTTTTGAATTTTGTACCATGTGGTGTATCATCCACTCAAAAGTTATCCTTTTTCAAGGGAGATGTTTTATAGAATCTATGAGACTTGAGATTAACTGCATATGAGAGTTGAGACAGGTGTGTTGAGGATGACACCTAAGATTTGAGCTTAGGCAATTTTGCCTACTTATTTGGTTGGGAACACTGGTGGAGGACCGGGTTTGGTGAGGAAGAAAAGCTGCTCAGTTTGGGACATGCTGAGTTCCAGGTGTCTGCAAAATATCCAGGTAGAGTTGTCTAATAGATAGGCATCCAAGCTGTTCATGCCTGGAGCTCAGGAGACATCTAAAGTGAAGGTAAGAAGTCGGGAATCATGAATGTGTGTGTGTCAATACCATCTACGGAGGCAGCTGGAGGCAGCTGGAACTTCCCAGGTGGTGAGGAAAACAGAGAGCCTTGTGGACCAAAAATATTTAAGGGATGGATAGGAGAGAAGCAGGCAAAGTAGGAGGCGTACGTGGCACTAGGCATGTGCTGAGAAGGGGTGAGTGGTCCACTAGCATCTGAACGCTACAGAGTTTGCGCAAGACTTGGAGTGCTCAGTGGGGTTAGCTACAGGTAGACTACCTTGATGAGATTGCTATCACTAGCGGGAGAGGCAAGGTCAGATCACAATGGGGTGAGGACTCAGTGTGAGGTCAGCAGACAATAGACTCTTCTCTTAAGAAGTTTGGCCCCGAAGAGGGAGTAAAAAGATAGGGCAGGACCTGAAACGAGAAATGGGAGTTGAGGGAGGGCGATTACAATGTCTTTGCAGGTGGGAAAGAGCAGAGCATGGTTATTTGCTGACTAGCATCGCTAGGGGAGCGAGAGAGAGAGGCTGAAGACACAAGAATGAGAGGAGTTACAGGACACAGTGAGAGACAGAGCTGCCTGAAGACACAGAAAGAAACCTGCATCTGGAACACAGATGGGAGTTTAGCTTTATACAGGAGGAGAGGTTCCACCGTGAAAGAAGATCAGAGGAATCATGCTGAGCGCGCTTAGAAAGCATGCAAGCTGTGCGCGCGCGTGCACGCACGCGCATGTGTGCGCGTGTGCGATCCCTCACCGTTCTGCACTCATTTGTGCCTTGCAGGAGTGTCTGGATGAACCTGTCTGTGGTGTTGCAAATCCCACTTACCTTTTTTGCTGTTCCAGACCACAGTCCTCTTAAGAGTTGTTATGGCATTGTGGTCAGGGTGATGATAGGGCTGGGACGAGAAGGGCCGGAGGCCAAAGCGAGGCTGTAATGGGTACCCTGGACACCTAGTTTCCAATTTCCTTCCTGGAAAGGGTTGGCCCGGGCTCTATTATTGCTGTCTACCCCGCAGTTCAGCACAGGGGCAAACGGAGATGGGGGTGGAGGATGGCTGTTGCAGGAAACATGGTTGGGAGCCTGTTACCTCCACAGGCAAGGACGAAGAGCTGCTAACAGACAACCAGAGGCACAGGCCGGGGATGGTCTCATAAAACAAATGATGGGGCCATCCAAACATAGAAAGGAATAATTTACCTCACATATTTAAAAACACACCAGGATGCAAATGAGATACAAACACTTCAGACTCCAAGTCTCAAAAAACAAGGAAAAGACAACCCAAAAATAACAACCAAAAAAACCCCGAAACAATTCAAAAATGGGCAAAGGACTTGAATAGACATTTCTCCAAGAAAGAAGATACGCAAATGGCCAATAGGCACAGGAGAAGATGTTCAATGTTGTTAGTCGTCAGGGAAATGCAAATTAAAACCACAATGAGATACCACTTCCTAACCAAAAGGATGGCTATTATCAAAGAAACAGAAAGTAACGTTTTGGTGAAGATGTGGAGAAACCGGAAGCCTCTGCCTTGCCTGAGGAAACATACAACAGTACAACTGCTGTGGGAAACAGTATGGCGGTTCCTCAAAAAAACTAAACGTAGACTTGCCATGAGATCTAGCCATCTGCTTCTAGTCATATACCCAAAGAAACTGAAAGCAGGAACTTGAACAGATAATTGTACACCAATGTTCACAGCAGCATTACAACAGCCAAAGGTGGAAGCAACCCAATCGTCCATCAGTGGATGAATGGACAAACACAACGTGGAATATACATACAATGAAATGTTATTTGACCTTTAAAAGGAATGAAATTCTGACTCATGCTACAGCATGGATGAATCTTGAAAACACTGTGCTACATCAAATAAGCCAGGCACAGTAGGACTAATACTGGATGATTCCACTTATATAAGGTAACTAGAGTAGTTAAATTCATAGACAGAAAGTAGAATACTGGTTATCAGGGACCATGGGGAGGGGCTAATGGGGTGTTAATGTTTAATGGGTACAAGGGTTTCAGTTTAAAAAATTCCCTGGATGAACAGTGGTGACGGTTGCCCAACAATGTGAATGTACTTAATGCCACTGAATGGTACACCTAAAAATAGTTAAAATAGTAAATTTTATGTTATGTATATCACAGTGCATTTTTTTTTAAAATAAAGGAAGGATAAAGAACCTTTTTTCTTGCAGTTTTCTGGTTGGGGTTTGGTTGGTAGGTGGGGAGAGAGTCCTACGGGGTACAAGAAGAGGCGAGAGGCTACAACCTCAATGCCATGGCTGGCTCTTCCCACATGAAGCCCTGTGGAACCAGGGAGGATTCACAGCTTACAATCTAGGGCCTCATGGGGTGGAAAGGGAGATGACCCAGTCATTGGCCTAGCATCCCTACCTCATGTCTTTAGTTGCCAAGTCTAACTCTGCTTGAAAAGATACCCCCTTTTCCCAAGATGTGGGACTTCCAAGAAGACAGAAGATATGTGGGGCCCTTTGCTCATCCCTAGATGCTGATGTGAAGGGCAAGGCATGGATGGCCTTTAAGAATTATTCTGTCCACCCTCCCAGGATTAATGGGCATGAAGGTCAGATGTTTGCATAGGCAGCGTCTCTCTCTCTCTCTCTCGGCCCCCCTCCACCCCAGGCCTACCTGGAGTCGGGAGGGGAGTAACAGGCGTCCTAATCATATGTGATAGACACTTTCCTCTCCATCCCCCTCCCCAAGGTCCAGTCCAAGATTCAAGTGTCCCAGGGTGTTGCGACGAATGATCTCCCAGCCTCGGTGACTGCTGCTGCTTCGAGATGTGGTCCGGGACAGGGAGGGAGTCGGGAGGGCCAGGGAGGCTCTGGCTAGAATCCCACTTTCAACCACAGAGGGTTGTTTCTCAGAAAGATGCTCACGTTCTTCCTCCTTGTCTGAGCCCTTGAAAGCTTCCACATAGCGACGTACTCGCAAAGCATTCTGATCTTGGTTGGTCTCAACTCTGAGGAGGGGAAAAGGGGACAGGACTCAGCTGAACTGGGGAGAGATGGGCCATGGGGAGCAGCAGAAGTGAGCGGGGCACAGCTGGGAAACAGGAGTGAGAGGAAAGGGGGAGGAAGTTAGCCTCGTTGAAGCCAGAAGACCCTCTAGGATCAAATGAAGGGAAGTAGAGGGAGATGGAGGATAACTAGGAGAGAGACCCAAAAGGCTGTGCATTCAGGATTCGGAGGGTAGTAGGGCTCGTGTGGGCGTGTGATGGTGGGGGGAATGTGGGTGAGTATGAGAGAGAAAACAGAGCCAATTAAAAGATAAGCGTGTCGTCAGGATGAGAAGATGCAATTCAGGAAATAAATGAGAGAGGAGAGCCAGGCCAGGAGATGAAGGTAGAGTACGAAGGAGCAGGTTAGTTTCAAGGCTAGACTAGAAGCTTCAAGAATGTACTAGAAGTGGGCGTCAGGTGGAAACAAGACTAGACCAAGTTGGGTAACCCATGCCCACATTCAAGCACGGACTCATATTCTTAGCCATTCGCATTACTGCCCTTATGTACTCATAGCCTGGCATCAGCTCTCAGCATTCTTTGCACCCCTCCACTTCAGCTCCACCCGCCTCCCCCACACAGGCTAACGCAGTCTCGCTTTACGGAGTGATGACACCTCCTTTGGGTGCAATTTGGAATCTCAAGAATGGAGAGGAGGGTCGTAAATGTGGAACCCGTCACCCTTGTTCCCACAGCCTCACACTGGTTGACGGTTCACACGTCTACACTGTCACTCACCGCAGGAACCAGCGGTCCCCCAGCCCGTACTTGTACCCACAGATGCCAGAGCGAGGCCACAGGGTGCGAGGCATCTTCCTCTCCAGCATCACCGTGGTGGCCACGACCTAGGAGGAACCAAGAGATAGAGGAAGAACGCAGAAAGAGCCATGAGGTTCAGAGAACCCTGAGGCTACTGACAGAGGGAACCAAAAGGAACCTGTGGGATGAGGACACCAGAGATCAGTGGAGGTGACAGCCACCTACCCATCCCCTAGCCTGTGGGAGGTGCCACGCTACCTGCCTTACTCATCACCCGCTATAAAAGGAGAGGATATTTTATGAGTGCTTTGAATAAAACAGTGACCCCTGCATTACTATTCAGATTCTTGGAAAACTAGTCACTCCAAACTAATCTCATTTCCTTTTTTTCCGTATGAAAGACATAAGCCAATTATCTTGATTTAAATAACATGATTAAATAGAATCTCTATGATCTTGGGGATGAAATGCTGCTGCTGATGTTGAGGGAATTTGCAGCAAATTCAATAAATACCCATATGCTAAGAGGGAAAAGGGTGCGTAAATGACTCCAAACTGGGCAGGGAAAATCTTAGTGGCATGTCACATGTTCTGTCCTTTGCCCAGCCCTCATTAAGTACCTCTGTGAAAGACAGAAGACAAGCTTATCAAATATGTCTGAGACACAAAACTGGGAGGGACACGTAACATACAAGATAACAAAGCAATATAAAAATGATCTCACCAGACTGGAATGCTGGTCAGAAACCCCTAACATGAAATTTAAGTAAACCAAATGTAAGGTCCTACATTTATGTATAAGACTAAAGTATCATTCGAAAAGACACATGCACCCCAATGTTCACTGCAGCACTATTTACAAAAGCCAGGACATGGAAGCAACCTAAATGCCCGTCAACAGAGGAATGGATAAAGGAGATGTGGCACATATATACAATGGAATACTACTCAGGCGTAAAAAAGAACAAAATAATGCTATTTGCAGCAACATGGGTGGACCTAGAGATTGTCATACTGAGTGAAGTAAGTCAGACACGGAAAGACAAAGATCATATGATATCGCTTATATGTGGAATCTAAAAAAAAGGGTACAAATGAACTTATTTACATAACAGAAGTATAATCACGGATGTAGAAAACAAACTTGTGGGGAGAAGCGGATAAGGCAGGGAGGGAGACTGGGATTGACATATACACACTACGATGTATAAAAATAGATAACTAATAAGAACCTGCCGTATAGCACAGGGAACTCTACTCAATGCTCTGTAATGGCCTATATGGGAAAAGAATCTAAAGGATGGATATATGTATATGTATAGCTGATTCACTCTGCTGTACAACTGAAGCTGACAACATTGTAAATCAACTATAGTCCAATAAAAATTTTTTAAAAAAAGACTAAAGTGTCTGTGTTAAGTACAGGAAAAACGATAAAGGAGCTTAGCTAAGTCAGTCATGTAACAAAGATGCGGGGGTTCTAGTTGATCATAAGCCTAGTAAGAGCCCATTGCATGTTTTCTAAAAGACCTGACGCCATTTTAGGTGCTATTTATAGTATAGTGTCCAAAGCAAGGACAGGCATGACCCCTCTTCATGCTGCATTCCTCCAATCATATCAGGACCATTCTAGTTTTGAAAGGCCCAGGAGGTCTGAACAGAGGGTCAGTCAGGATGCACTGGGCTCAGGAAACTTGATTAATTGAAAGAACTAGGAATCCTCAAAGTAGCTCAGTTCTCCACTTTGCCTTCTGCCCCGTCTTTCTCGGTACTCCACACTTCTCTTGGCCTTCTCTCTGTTTCTTAGCTGCGCTGAGTTCCCTCCAACCTCAGGATTTTCTCTTTTCTTTTCTTTTCTTTTTTAAAGATACGACTTCTTTATTTTTAATACAGAAATTTATTTTATTTATTTATTTATTTTTGGCTGCATTGGGTCTTCGTTGCTGTGCGCGGGCTTTCTCTAGTTGCGGCGAGCGGGGGCTACTCTTTGTTGCGGTGCACGGGCTTCTCATTGCGGTGGCTTCTCTTGTTGCGGAGCACGGGCTCTGGGCACACGGGCTCAGTAGTTGTGGCTCGCGGGCTCTAAAGCACAGGCTCAGTAGTTGTGGCGCACAGGCTTAGTTGCTCCACGGCATGTGGGATCTTCCCGGAACAGGGCTCCAACCCACGTCCCCTGCACTGGCAGGAGAATCCCTAACCACTGTGCCACCAGGCAAGTCCCCAACCTCAGGATTTTCAATCATTCTATTCCCTTTCCCTGGACAGCACTTTTTCTTTATCTTGGAAAGGACATTTCTTGTTCTTCTTGTGCCATCATTCAGCAGCCCCCGCCACCTTCTTCTGGTAAGAGAACCCAGCTTTCATTTAGAGAATCACTCCTTCTCTACTCTGAGTCCATCAGTTAGCGTAGACTGGACTTCACACGGCCCTGGTTACTTACTCTATTCTCCCCCAAACTCCACCACCACCACCACCACCACCTGCGCCTATGATCAAACCTGTTGCAACGAGATGGGTTCGGGGGGCAGGGGGAGATGCTCTTTTAAAAGCTACAGATCCACAGCATCGGGAGGCACACAGAATACAATAAGAATGGGCCCTTGGAATTTGGAACACAGTGCACCTGCTCATTCCTTTGTAAGTTTAGAGCTTCTCTAAGCTATCTCACCAACATGATGCAAGAGACTGACTTCAAAGAGGACAAAACAGAGAAGAACAGAAACTGAAGTATAAAATGGAGATCCAGACTCTGGCCAGCCATGTCTAAAGCTGATTTAATTCCTTAAACTTTCCAGTTATGAGGCTCAACACACCCTCTTCCCACCGCCCATTTTTTTTTTTTAAGTCTATTTGAGTTTGGTTTTCTGTCCCTGTAGCCAAGAGTCCCAGTGGATGCAAATCCTAACCTCCATCCCTTCCCCTCATTCTTCTTAATTGACTAATTATTACCCATGTCTAGGGGCTCATCTTAAATGTCACTCCATCAGGAAAGCATTTCCTAACTTTCTAGTCAAACTCCTCTGTTGCCTCCTGTTTTTAGCATCTTCACATCTCTATGACACGTTTGCTATTCTAATTGTACAGCTTTCTGTGAAGTCATTCGTTTAATGTCTGTCTGCCCAGCCAGACGGCAAGCTCCATGAGGGCACAGACTACATCATCATGCCTGTGTCCCCAGATCCTAGACATTTTCAAACAGGCTCTAAATAATTATTGCTAATGAATGAAAAGTCTGAGGGGATAAATGATGACTGTCTTCAAAGATCTGAATGGTGCTCCTATGGGAGAGTGTGTTCTGCATTATACGAGAAGAAAACACTTGGGCCAAAGAGTGGAATTACAGAAAGATAGGTTTCAGCTCAATGCAATATGGACTTTTCTAACAACAAAAACTTTTGAAATATAAAAAAGCTCTCTCCTTCCAACCTCTACCCAAATCCACATGAAAATAAGATCCGCATCAGCATTAAAGAAGATACTGACTGATCCTCTGACCAATAAATGAGTATATGTTGGGTAGGAGCTCACCTAGAGGACCACTAAAGGCACTTCCAACTCTAAGATTTTATTAGCCTATGATGATATAAGGAAAAGATTATGGAGAAACAGTTATAGAAGCAAATAGAAGATAAGGTCCAAATTAAAAACTAGAACATATAAGAACAAAACAGTTTCTGGTTCCCACTGGATTCAAGGTTGGCTCCTGAATCTACCCTTCCTCTGTGCTCTTGGCTGTTGATCCTAACCCTATCCTACCATCCTACACTCTTTTAGATAAAAAAAAGACTTTTGGCTAAAAGTCCCCTCCATCTATCCAAAAGTACCTCTGTTGAGGTGACAGCTCCACGGGGTTGTTCCGTGACTCTCCTAACAGTCATCTACCGTGGCGTATTCCACTTTGATTTTTCTCTCCATCCCCTGCCCCTTAGTAAGACTAACACTAATAACAATAGCCAGGACATGGAAGCAACCTCGATGTCCATCAACAGTGGAATGGATAAAGAAGATGTGGTACATATATACGATGGAATATTACTCAGGCATAAAAAAGAACAAAATAGTGGCATTTGCAGCAACATGGATGGACCTAGAGATTGTCATACTGAGTGGAGTAAGTCAGACACAGAAAGACAAATATCATATGATATCACTTATATGTGGGATCTAAAAAAAGGGTACAAATGAACTTATCTACAAAACGGAAATAGAGTTACAGATGTAGAAAACAAACTTATGGTTACCAGGGGACAAGGTGGGGAGGGATGAATTGTAAGTATGGGATTGACATAAATACACTACTATATATAAAATGGATAACTAATAAGGACCTACTGTATAGCACAGGGAACTCTCTACTCAGTACTCTGTAATGGCCTATATAGGAAAAGAATCTAAAAAAGAGTGGATATACGTATAAGTATAACTGATTCAATATGCTGTACACCTGAAGCTGATACAACATTGTAAATCAACTCTACTCCAAAAAAATGAAAAAAAAAAAAAAGACTAACACTAATGAACTCACCTGGGCCCTCCAGAGCTCATCCTGTTCATGGGCCACCCGCCAGTGTGTGTCGCCCATCATGGCAATGAACAGGTTGAGCATAAGCAGTGTGGCGATGATGGCAAAGGCAAAGTAGACGATGCTGAACATGTAGGGCAAGTTCACATCGTAGTTGGCAGGCCCATCGATGATGGTGAGGAAAAGCTCAAAGGTGCTGAACAGCGCCATGGGATAGTCATAGAATTGCCCCAGGTTGGATGGGTCCTCTGTCTGGAAAATGATAAAGAACGCTGCTCCGCCCACGAAGAGGGCATGGAGATCAGGAAATGGGGAGTTATCACAATAAGCACGGGCCTGATCAGCATTCATTCTTACCTCCAGTATATATCTCCATACATTTACACACAAGCACATATATGCACACAGGCACATAAATGTAGAATTACGCATCTAAGTCACATTTTCCCTGCGGACCTGGCTAACCCTCAGATGTCCTATGACCAAGTTTATCATACCAGTAATCCTCAGAGTTTAGCAAATATCTATCGAATCAATATAGTATATGTCACCTAACTGGGTTTTACATTTTGGAACCAAATATTTAAAAGGCAAGTTGTTACAAGAATGCATGGAATCTCCACCAATTTTAAAGAACTGAGCACATGAAAGGGCTAAAAGAAAAGCACCTTTAAAAAAAATCTCAGTATCCTCTAGATAACCATCCATTACTCTGAGATTTCCTGGGTGAGCTTGGACCATCATAAAAAAGTTTTCCCTGCTCAGTGTGTAGCCTACTGGATGGTACTGGGCATCCTGGAAACTCACTACAGCGTTAGAACCTCTAAAAGACCCATCTCTGTGTGGGGAACGGAACTATAAATAAGGTGACCCCAAGAGCAGAACTAGGGTCTATGACAAAGCATGGCTTTGCAACAACAAAGAAGAAGAGATGGTTTAGGAGATCTACAGAAAACGACTCTGTCATAGTTCCTCATTTTGCCTAAGTGTAGCTGCAGGTGGAGCAGAGGGTGCGGAGGAAGGGTACATGAGGAATCCTCCAAACAGGCAGCCTATCAAAGTTTGACCCTCTCAGCGTTCAGATCTTGGTGTAGTGTTTCAGTCTACTGTTTCGTGGGAACCCCCATCAAGCAGGGGAATGCCTAGGACAGGCATGGCGTCCTTTGTACTAAAAGTCATTGTCTTTAGGGCTGTGGGTCTTCACGTGTCATCAGGTGCATCCACCTGTCTTCTGGAGGTTCAGCTGCAGACATGGAGGACTGGGTGAGCCCTGCTGCCTTTTGTTCTTCCTGCCTTTCCCTAAGAACTGTCTTGCACTCATTCGTTTGTGCTCTCCCTCCCTCTGCTCTGTCTGTTCTGTCCCGGATGTTTCCCCTCCTCCTCTCTCTGGCACCCTCCCCCTTGGTCCGTGACTGGGTCCCCACTGGGCAATTCTTCTTTCAGCTTCTCTTCACAGCTCTTCTGCTTTCCTTTCTCATTCTTCACAATCTCCAAACCCTTTTTCTATTCCTTTCTTTTCTTTCAACTCTGACCACACATAGGGGAAAAAAGGGCACCTTATGTGCTAGTGAATGCTTTTCGTTTCTTCTTCTGAAGTGTAAACACAGTAGAGTTAAATACTAGACTTTTTGCCTATGGCACCTTTCACGACTGGCCAGTCTTTCTTGTTTAATAGTCTTCTCTCTCCAAAGCCCTTTTTCTATCTCTCCTTTAAAGATCTTGCAGGGCAGTTAGTCAACATGAAGGTTATTGGCCCAGAAATTCAGACCACATGAGTCTACTCTCTAGGCCAACCTGAGTGACCCAGATCCTAAGAATGCGAGTGTGTTTTTTGATTCACCTTCCACCAGGGGGGAAAAGAAAACAAAGGGGATTGCAAAGGAGAAATAACTGAGAGCAAGAGTAAGAGACAACTTTCTGGAGAACTGGATCCGATGATCTGATGGAGGCTCTTACCTGAGGCAAATCCCACAATAACCACAGCCATCAGCCAGCAGAAACGCAACAGATCTCCGAAAATCATCTACAGGAAACAGAGAGGGGAGGGAGGGTGGAGGGATCCTTTCTCCACCTGCCTCTCTGCAGCTACTGCCGATAGACTGGAAGTCACCGGAGTTCCACCAGGTCCACTCCGAGCAGCATTTTCCTTTTTACTCCCACTCCCTCCCTCTGTCTGGGAAAGGTCCAATGTCTGAAGCCAGAGGAAACTCTGGGGAAAGCACTGACCTTCTGGATCATGATGGTGAAGGGACCCAGCATCTGGAATCCTCGAGCAAAGTACATAACACTGCACCAGCCCAGCACGAGGGCGAACGACATGGGCACCACCTCCCCGTTGGTGTTGGAAAGCCGCATCACCATGGTCACCAGCACCAGCGAGGCATAGGTGATGCTGGGGGGAGAGCAGAGAGGGGGGAAGTGAGAGGAGCACTGGAAATATGCTAGGTCCCCTTCAGCATGGCACCGACTTACATGGGACCCAAACACTCAGGCTCAGTCTTCATAGCTAAACACATACACCGTCTCACACACACAAGCCTGCTAGAGAAAAATCCCTGGGAGTGAGGGTCCCAGAGAGGGATTGGGAGACCTGGGACATTTCTGGCAAGGGAAGGCAGGGGGCTGGAAGGAAGAGCACTCACGTGATGACATGGAACGGCCCCCCGAGGACAGTCTGTCCAAAATAGCGAGAGAAACCAACCCGGAAGATATCCGGGATCTGGGAAAAGGCCAGGAAAACAAAACAAAACAATGATCGATATAGACTTCAGTTCAATCTGAGGCCTCAGGTGGGTGGCCTCCGCCTGAGCGCAGCTGCACCTCACCTCTAGGAATAGGATGATCACAGCCCCGAAGACCGTCATCAGCTCCCCCACCAGCCGGATTTTATCCTGCTGAGTCACATAGGCCTCCTGCGGTGAGAAATTCAGGATAAGAAGTGCTTTCTGATAGCCTGAGAGTCAAGTCCTTTTGAGTAAGTGGTCTAAAGCAGCTCAACTCTATCCAAGGTGAAGGAAAGCTCCCCTTACCAACACCATCAACAACCCCCACCCCCACCCCGTGCCATTGTGGCTCAGTCTGTGACCAGGGCATTAAGTAACCAAGGCATCAGTCTAAGTAACCAAGGCTTAATATACATATGTTACATATGCTAACAACTTGAGTAACCACCTAGCAAGTCACCTCTTATATATATGTTGTGAGCAGTTATTTATGATGATGTGTGTACTGAGGGGCTGAGGTCACATTTCAAAGCACCAAGTTAAGAAGGCTAAACCAACAGGAAGAGGTATTAGTGGTTTGGGCTGATTTCAGCTAGGCTGAAAGGCCAGCTTTTCCAATCTCGTTGCGGTTCCCAGCAAGTAGAATATAAACACATCATAGCATTCAGGTTCCCGTATGGACCCAGCACCTGTTATAGCTCCAGTGAAACCTTGAATCAGTCACTAAAACTCCCTGAGCCTGGGGTTTCTCATCTGTAAAATGGAACCTATAGTGCTTACCTCCCAGGGTTATGGTGAAGACCAAATGAGATGTATTTGGATGTATTTTATAAACCACAGAGCGCTATAGATATATTCATTGTGGTTTTATTATGATTGGGCAATATAGCAAAGGGCTAAAGACAATATATGGATTTTAGTTTTGAGGAAGGGCCCTGCCTTATCCGAGACAGTAGGAGTAGAAGGTACAGTCCTAAGGTCAAGATGGAATGAAAACCACCCACCACCCTCCTCTGCACATGTTACTTCACAGGAAAAGGCTTGCAATATTACCCAGATATAGCAATAGAATTCTACAATAATGCTCCTTAACTTTTTTGAAGTTATGAGCCCATCTGAGAATATCATAAAGACCACAGATCCGCTTTCCAGAAAACTGTGCTCATATATACGTAATTCTCACGTGAAACTATACAAACAACTCCAACCCATTCGAGTACCCCTTGGACTTCTGGGAACTCTATTCTCCACGGTCGCATCTCTGAATTGTGCACCGAAGACAGGAGTTGAGAGTCCCTGAGGATGATCTAAGCTGGGAAGGATGTGATCCCTCATTAAGCATGAGAAATGCTAATCATCTCTGTCCTGCCGATAAACTGGAACCTCTCAGCATCCCTCTGCAGGTTACTTCAGCAGTGTACACCCTGGTCCAGTGAGAGGCATAGCTTTTGAAATAGGAAGAGATGCTATGTAGTGGGAGGTGATCTATGGTACAAGGAAGGCAGCCACCAAGCATCCTGTGGCCTCTCAGAGGGTGTGTGTCAGCTCAGAAGAAGCCAAGGATATAGTCTTTAGGGAAGAACAGGACCAGACTTACCAACAGGTGGTGGAAATGTTTCAGGTAAATCATATGGGACCAGGGAAGACCAGAAAAGGAGTTGGTGACTACGTATCTAGTAAACAATATGATCTAACAACCTGTGACTAGATATCAATTCCTTTGTTGTTGTTGTTTAAAGAACTGATGTTCTGTAAACTTCTCTGACGTTTACCTCTCTTGAGAAACCGGCAAATTTTATTTTATCATATAGTGGGACATTTCCCTTTTGCCTTGCTTCCAAGGAAGCTCAGCGCTCTCTCGCTCTCTCGCTCTCTCGCTCTCTCGCTCTCTCGCTCGCTCTCTCTCTCTTTTATCCCCAGCTCAAACAACCATCTTTGCATCCCCTCTCCTCCAACCTAAAATTCAGATCATGGGTCTGGTGATCTTAATGTTCCTACAGCATCTGTCTTTCATTGTAAAACAGGCCAACTCCTTTTGAGAATCAGGTTGTAGTATAAATAATAAGTTCATTAACTATAGGAACAAAATAACATTAAATATAGAAATAAAATAACGGCATCCGTGCCATATATGTATCTGTACAAAATTTTTAAACCTTTAAAAAAAACTTTGGACCTTGGTTGCATTCGTCTGGAAAACTGCCACCAACCTTTTTCCTTGGCTCAACTAAGAAGAAAAGGACTGCACTAGTTGGCCAGGAGAGTTGTGGGAACCAGAGTGCCACTACAGGAAAGCGAGAGAGTGGCATCAGCTTTCTTCCTCAGGAGATGAAAAGGCAAAACCCTAACTAATGGAGAATACTGGGGACAGTTTTGGTTACCGTAATCTCCTTCTGGGGCTGCCCCTCACCAGCACCCCTTTGTTTGTTCAACGGGTTCCTTTACGAGTAGGAGTTCCCCTGCTCAAGTTCACCAGTGAGTAACAGAGGTGTCCAGAGACCCCGGGCTTTTGTCTCTGCTCCACCTGGGATCCGATTGCCCTAAAGTAGCTGCCTCTGCCACTCTGTCCCCAAAGGTCCTCTATTTAAAAGCAGAATGCCGAGTGCCACAGTCTCCTGCGAGCCCCCTTGCTTGCTGCTCTCCAAGACACAGACCCTACAGTAGGGTTTTATTTTTTTTTTAATTGCTCTCTGGAAAACAAAAGGTAACATACACGTGCAAAAGTTGCCATGAAAATAATGGTAGTTCATACAATTCAGCAGCAAAAAACCCCAAACGATCCGATTCAAAAATGGGCGGAGGACCTGAATATAGACATTTTTCCAAAGAAGACATACAAATGGCTGACAGGTACGGAAAAGGTACTTAATGTCACTAATCATCAGGGAAACGCAAATCAAAACCACAGTGAGATATCATCTCAGACCTATTAGGATGGCTATAATCAAAAAGACAAGAAATAACAAGTGTTGGCAAGGATGTAGAGAAAAAGGAATCACTGTACACTATTGGTGGGAATGTAAACTGGTGCACCCACTACAGAAAACAGAACAGAGGTTCCGCAAAAAATTAAAAATGGGACTACCACATGATCCAGCAATTCCACTTCTGGGTATACAGCCAAAGGAAATGAAAACAGAATCTGGAAGAGACATCTGCATTCCCATGCAAATTTTAACATCAGTCACAGTAGCAAAGATATGGGAACAAGCTAAGTGTTCATCAATGGATAATGGATAAAGAAGATGTGATATACACATATATACACACACACATATATATAAAACGGAATATTATTCAGCCATGAGAAAAGAGGAAATCCTGTCATTTGTAACAATATGGATGGAGCTTGAGGGCATTATGCTAAGTGAAGTAAGCCCATCAGATTAAGACAAATACCTCATGGTATCACTTACACGTGGAATCAAAAAAAAAAAAAAAAAAAAAAGGAAAACCCCCTGCCAGGGCATGGGGGTATGGACAAAATAAGGAGAGGTTGGCAAAAGGGTACAAAATTTCACCTATAAGACGACTAAGGTCTGAGGAGCTAATGGGAAAACAAGGCGACTATAGTTAATTACACAGTATTATACAATTGAAATTTGCCAAGAGAACAGAACTTATTCTCATCAAAAACAAAAAAGGTAAATATGTGAGGTGATGGATGTGTTAATTAACTAGATAGGAATCCCTCCACAATTTATACGTGTATCAAATCACTGCGATGAACGCTTTAAACATCTTACAATTTCATTTGTCAATTACACCTCATTAAAGCTGAAAAAATAATGACAGTAGTGGGCTTTTAAAACGTTTTTCTTTTCTTTGATTTCAAGGGGAATTCTAGCGGTTCACACTCATATGTAATGTTGGCTCTCATTTGGAATAAATACTCTTTTCAAAGTTGAGAAAGAGTTTAGTGTTTTAAAAAGGGACAGGGGCAGGCTTCCCTGGTGGCGCAGTGGTTAAGAATCCGCCTGCCACTGCAGGGGACACGGGTTCGAGCCCTGGCCCGGGAAGATCCCACATGCCGCAGAGCAACTAAGCCCGTGCGCCACAACTACTGAACCTGCACTCTAAAGCCTGTGAGCCACAACTACTGAACCCGCGTGCTACAACTACGGAAGCCCGCACACCTAGAGCCCGTGCCCTGCAACGAGAAGCCACGGCGATGAGAAGCCCACGCACTGCAACAGAGAGTAGCCCCCGCTCGCCGCAACTAGAGAAATCCCGCGCACAGAAACAAAGACCCAATGCAGCCAAATAAATAAATAAAATAATAAAAAAATAATAAAATTAAAATGGACAGGGGTATTGAATTTTAACAAATGACTTTCTAATGTCTGATGAACTGATAATAAGAATGCCCTCTTCATCAACCACCCTTGCCCCTCTAGAATTAAACCCTAAACTCAAAGTGGTAATGAGTTTTTCTTTGAATTTTTTAGAAGTTTATTCTTTGGGGATTGTATTCAAGATTTCCTGTCTACAGGGAGAGACTGATCTGCAGCTTTCTAGATGTGTGGTTCTTATGAAAAGGTTTCGGGATCGAGGGTATATTTAACAAAGTGAATTAACAGAGACACTCATTTTCAAGGTCCCGTTCATTTAGCCTCCCAGTTCTTTCAAATGCTGCCCTGGCCCTCAATCCATAGCACCACTGCCTTAATGCAAACCCATAGCACCCTGCACCCAATCCCCCCTCACCTCGCTTTCGGACTAACCTTTCTCAAATGCAAATATCACCCCATGGCTTCTCTGTTTAATGCCTTTCCTAGTTCCACCATGTCTTTGGAATAAACATGAGGGGGAGATGGGAGTGATGGGTATTCTCTAAATCCTTATCAGAGTAGAAATTCCATAGCTAATGTCTAAATTTAATTAATGAATAGAGATAGAAGTGCATTATTCAGCAGTGCAGAGGTGACAACAGGGGTGAAGAACTTAAAAGAGGTAAACACTGGTTGCCGTCTGATTTTTAAATCATGGGCGGGTATTCCTTTACTCAGAAGTGCTTATAGTGAGATAGGAATAGAAGATAAGACTCAAACTACCAAGCGTGATGTACAGAACCCTTGCTGGCTGCACGTGTGTTCTTTTACTTAGAAGTGTGCATTGTGAGATAAGAATAAAAAATCAGACTCAGACTACTGAGCATGACGTACAGAACCCTTGCTGGTCTGGCTCCT